CACCAGAGCAGGTTGCTCAAGGCTCATCCAACCTGGCTGTGAACACTGCCAGGGTTGGGGCAGCCACAGCCTCCCTGAGCAACCTGGGCCAGTGTCTCACCACCCTCACAGGGAAAACCTTTTCCTCACATCCAACTTAGTCTTTCCCTCCTTCAATTTGAACCCATTACCCCTTGTCCTATCACTGCAGCTTCTATCACAGAGTCCCTCTCTATCTCCTTGTAGCCCCTTCAGAGATTGAAAAGTTGCTCTGAGGTCTCCACACAGTCTTCTCTTCTCTAGGCTGAATAGCCCCAACTCCCTCAGCCTGTCCTCACAGGGGAGATGCTCCAGTGCTCTTAGCAACTTTGTGACTCTGGACTTGCTCCAACAGTTCTATGTCCTTCTTCTGTTGTTGACACCAGAACTGTGTGCAGTATTCCAGGTGGGTCTCACCAGAGCAGAGTAGAGGGGAAGAATCACCTCCCTTGACCTGCTGCCCACACTCCTTTGGATGCAGCCCAGGATTCCATTGGCTTTCTGGGCTGAGCTCACACTGCAGCTCATGGGGAGCTTCTCATCCACTGTCACTCCCAAGTCTTTCTCCTCACTGCTGGTTTCAGTGCCTTCCCCACCCAACCTGTAGCTGTGCCTGGGATTGCCATGGCCCAGATGTAGGACCTTACACTTCATTTGGTTGAACTCCATGAGGTTTGCATTGTTCCACCTCTGAAGCTTGTCAAGGTCTGTCTGGGTCTCCCATCCCTTCCCTCCAGCTTTGACTGCCCCACACACTTGCTGTGGTCAGAGAACTTTCTGAGAGTGCACTCAATGCACTGTCCATGTCACTGACAAAGATGTTGAAGAATCAGACACTCTGCAGCAGAAAGGCTGAAGACCATGTGCACAGTCTGTAAAGTACAATAGATGCACATGTATTTTTCCATGTATATTTACACACTGCAATTTGCTACATTAATGAGTGAGAGCAAAATACAATTTGCTTTTCTACCAATCAAATTATGTTTTAATACAGTGCTATTTATTTCCTCCAGCCATGGAGAGTCAGAACTGTGTTTAAAGAAGAAATCAGCTAGATTCTATTATATACATATTTTATTCTGAAAGAAAAGAGGACAAAACGGTAGAGTGTTGTATCATAGGATTTATTCTGTGCAGTGTCCAGCAGTGTCTCCTGCATATGGTTGACTCACTTCTATGCATTGGAATTGCAGCTAGTTTAGGTTCTTTGCCACTTGAAATACAGTTCTTGCCAGTTTACTGCATTTGGGCATCTGAATTGGGAGCAGTGCCCTGAATTGATCCTTCTAGCTGCAAATCCAGTTCCTTTCAGACAGGAGTAAAGGCAGAAAATAAAAGGAGAAACATTTTTTGAAAGAAGTAATATTAGATGTCCAGAGGTTAATTGATGCAGTGATATGTTTTTACCTATAAAACTGAAGAGGAATACCAGAGATGACTGTTGAAACTCAACCCCTGCATTGTTATTTTCCTTTCTATATTTTGGATATAGAAGTGGAGTTACCAACTTTGAATCCTGTGCTCAGTTCTGAGCCCCTCAGGTCAGGAGGGACATTGAGGTGCTGGAGCAGGTCCAGAGAAGAGCAGCGAGGGTGGTGAAGGGACTGGAGCACAAGTGCCATGAGGAGAGGCTGAGGGAGCTGGGGGTGTTCAGACTGAACTTGTTTAGGTTGTTTAGCCTTTGACTTGAATTTCAAGTCAACTGAAAACCCCTTGTTTCACATGTTCCAAATAAAATTAATCACAGAATCATCAGAATTTGAAG